TAGGCAACAAATGAATTAAATACGAAAAGTCAAATAAAAGTTTTGAAAGCAATTTCAGAATAGGTATACGTGTCCTTTTGATGGATCCTCATGGTTTCTGAGCTAATTATTAATCCTGACATGCAGTTGATAACTATGATTTGGCAAACGTATAAAAACACCTTGTCAAACCCGTAAAGAATATACTATTAATGTAGAACCGGTAAATTCAACTTCAGCTAAATAATGATCCTATCACATTTAGTCTTCCACCAGCTTGAAGACGAGTTAGCCTTATCGCTCATGAACTGTCTTATCCGTTTAATTCTTGCCATCATTAAATGCCTTTCGTAGTTAGTATCTAATGAAATAGTTAAAATTGGGAGGTTGCACAAGCCAGCAATAATAAATAAAATAAACAATTGAAAAATGTGATAAATAAACTAGCAAGTCAAGGAGGCCTTAAGCAATTATAAAAGAAAATGAAGCGCTTAATAGTGATAAATGGGCTGATCTCAGAAGAAAATAATAAGAACAAAAGTATCCTATAATAGGAATTGACATATACAATAAATGATGACTGTGAGCTCAAATCAACCAGACCGTAAACTTGTATACAATCAAATAGCATAAGTTAACTAGAGTAGGATGGCAACTTTCAAAGAATATGATAGAGAAAAGGGGATGCAAGTGCCACCAAATAAACCTTAAAAAATAAATGGGTAAAAAGTGCCAATTAAAAGGTCATTATTCAAGCGTTGGCGAAATATTCCTGCTTATGAGAAATTAGAAAATAAAATTTGTTGCAAATAGTTAATGCTAAAATTTACAGTAGCAAAATGGTTGACATAGACTTGTCTCAAACTCACATCACATAACAATGCTGTGTTCTATGCACTCCTATCCTGCCTAAACCCAGTAAGCTAGTCGTGATATATGAAAAAATGATTACAACGCTTTTATGACTTGAGATCACAACTAAGTAATACATCCTTAGCGATAAAATATGGTAATTATGGCAATAGCAAGCGAAACATCCAATTATTAAGGATATCAATAGTTATTCTTGCCCTTATAAACATAATGACATGGTGTGAAATGAGGATGAGAGTTACTGCATCTCAACACCAAATGCGTAATTTATTCTGACAACAAGTAAGGAAGATGGGCCTTAAAAAATGGCTGTACTTTGACGTTTTTTAAGTAAACCTGAATAATTCGAGATAAATTCATTTAGGATGAGGAGTTTCACAAAGTGCGAAGTTGGAAATATTATTCGAAAAATAGGGTGTAACTTATCTTGTCAATCCAGTGGAACTGAAAAAATTATGTTGTATAAAGCCCAAACACTATTGTGCATGGGCATTGAGAGAAGTGGAAGGGTAAAATATGAATGACTCGTCAAAGAAGCAAACTAATGTTGATATCGCGAATATTGTGACAAAATTTAAATCATAAGTAAATATTATTGAGTCAATAGAGATACTAAAATTATCCTAAGAATAAGGCAGAATTCCTCTGATAGGAACAGTATTCGGTTTAGGTTGCATAAGATGGTGAAGGACAGATCGTTGAATTTTCACAAAAGGAATGAATAGGCCTCACGAAACAATTTGATCTCATTTAACGTTATCTCCCAGAAGGAACTCCACTTAAAGTAGACTGCCGTTTCGATTTCGCCTATATCTCATCAGCACCTCCAACGATAATGGAAAAGATCGATGAGACTCAGGCGAGAAAGAAGCTACAGTTCACTCTGCATTTACATACCCTCTAAGAGGCCTTCCTCGAAATTCACATATTTCCTGTGGCCCAATAACACTATTGGCGGCGTGTCGTAATAGTCAACGTGTCGAGATTAAACACTGCACTATCACGGTTCGAGTCCAGCTAGGGGAGGTTGGTGAGACCTAGGCGAGGTCGAAACTGTGGTCCATCCTAGATAAGAATATTGTTTTAAGAAGCAAGACTATGAAATTCAACGGAAACGTCAGGTCTTAACTAAAGAGAGCGAGTACATTTCATATATTGGTAATTCATCACCTTATGCGACCTCTGATGACTTCAGCTTTGATTCAGGATATACTTATGATATCAAAATCAAGTTATTATTAAGATCTGCAACTGTATGTAAAGCCAAAGTAGACCCAATATAATAGATAAGTTAACAATTAAATATCCCGCTTACGAGATAAATGGAAGGACAAAATGTGGAAAATGACGAAACATTATTCAGTATAATGGCATCTCTATACTAGTCATATAGATCGCCAAGTAAAAGCAAACTCTGACTATTATAATCATCGTAAAATACTTACTTGTCTATTATATCCCCATCGTCTTTTAGACTATAGTTCGTTAGCTATGTTAGAATAAAAATAGGAAGTAAAGATATTTCGTCATCTTAGGCTGCTATATTACTATGCAAATCAAATGCGTGCATATTCAAACACTCGTATACATAAAAGAACTAAAAAGTGGGTAGTTCATAACGAATACCTCATCCACAAGGCCAAATCTCAAGTATATTCGGTTTACAACAAAATTGCGCAGAAACAAGTCAATGTGAATAACTAAAATAATAAATCAAATAGGTTATCCCATACCTCAGCAAGGCGAAAAATGTTTTGAAGTATTCATGAAATCGACCAGAAATAAGCATTCACAGTAACAAAAAAAATTTTGATTCGCATATCTATCATTCTATTATAACCCATCCCATGAAAGCCTGTGTGGATCGATGAAAGAACGGGAAAAAGTCCTGACTACTCAAGGTTGGCATGAGCGGTGTAAGAATTAGAAGAAACACGTTTGTTTGGGTAAAGTGTATCAAACATCCTCGTGAAAAGTATTTATCTGTCACAGGAGCATAAATAAAGCCTAACGTTATTAAAGAATGTGTAGTCAAAGTACGAATAGCTGAAAAGCACAAACATACTTATCGTACTGCAATTGAAGCATATTCCATGCTTGAAACTAAGCTACTATGATAGGAAAAAATGAATTGTATTTTCTTAATGCCTTCTGCAAGCGAGTATATACCAATATCTTGTTTTTGTATAAAAGCGGTGAAAAGTAGTATAGCTTAAAGAGATGATAAGCAAAAAAATCAACAAACTAATATGTCCCAAAAGAAAGCGCTAAGATAAACAGTGATATATTCGTTAAACCAGTGGTCCCCAAACTTTTCCTACTCTCAGCGCCCCTTTTCAATTAAAATTTTTCAATGGCGCCCTACCCTAAGTATGACTATTCGTAAGTAAGAGATAAAAATAAATAAAACTTGTATATCTTCCTTATTTTTTTAATTTTATTAACATTGAATTAATATTTAATAATAAATGTGATGGATAAACCTGCAAATCACTGCACATTTTCTCAAATTGAAACTTTTAGAATATTTCTCGGTGCCCCTGTAAAGAGGCCGCGGTTCCCCGGGGCCCTGCGGCGCACAGTTTAGGAATCACTATTAAACATATATTAGAACCCAGACTACAAAAATGCTATTCATAGGTCCAGCAAAAGAAAAGCAATTATCTATTGGCACATGACAATGCTATATGCATCAAAATAGGTTTCTGCTTGCGTAAAATACCAACCAAGCTCAGAGCTTAAAGGACTAATGCATCATCACGCGCACCAACCAATGACTAAATTCCTGCTGGTAGTTCTAAACGTTTGCAGCCATATAGCTGGGGCTCAGCAAGTGTAGTATGAAACATCCAATTTAAAGAGGAGATGCTCAAGATATCATAAAGGACTTAAAGTAGGGTGCTCAGACTAATGACATTGAGTAATCTGCATGTAATTAGTCTAATAAAAGCATAATATAAAATCATTGAGAATAGTGACAGCTTGAAACATTTTGCGTTACTCCTTAAAATAAAAGGTATCTAAAACAAGCATTTATTTCCTGACCAAATTAAATTTTAACTTGTTTTCAGCTCTAGGGGCTACTGTCATGCAAAAAATTGATTAATTAGAAAAAAAGAAAGTTATCTTCTAGTTAAAATAATTGATTAAATAATTTGAATTACTAAGAACTGTAACAGTCCGAAAGCTGCCAACGTGAATGAAAAAGGTATATTTGCTCACCTATTAGATACACTAACAATATCAAGATCGAGGTTGTTGATTGTACTCCTTGTCTCACTTGATCGGACCACAGAGTTAGACATTTGGAGAATAGAGGGAATGGAAGCTGAAGTCGTAGAACACGATGAAACCGAGGAAGCGGAGGAAGCCGAATTTGATATGGAGGAAGGAGATATAGAAGTGGAATTCGAACTTGCCGAGGCGTTTGCCTCTCTGGAAAGGCAATGTAAAAAAGTGGCTTGGCCTGACAGGTTGGCGGCAAGAGTCTCAGACATTTCGGTAACACCTGCCGGATAAAGTTCCGCTTGAGTAACCTCGCAGCCCGAAGTATGCCGGCTAGTTCGCACTGGTAAACAACCGCTATCCGGAAACAAAAGAGTGGATGTCGTGGATCCAGAAGGAATATTTGAGAGAGTCGTTAAGAAGCCGGGCACAGGGTGGATTAGGCTGGAAGTGGCTTGGTCAACGGGGGCGATGTTATTGATTCCGCTAATGCCAGGAGTGCCAACCGGGGAAGCCTTGCCAGTGGTGCCTCGGCGACTTCGACCTCCCCGCATACGATCCTCGCGGACAGCTGTGGTGTTTAGACCCAAAGAAGTTGGCAAGAAGGTAAAACAAGAGGTGGAACAGGGAGATGAAGAGGAGGAAGAATAGGAAGAGGAAGATGAGATTGGAAGGTTATTTATAAGAAATGGCTCACAAATATCAGGAAATTGAGGAGCAAGAGGAAAATCCAATCTGACTACAGGAGTTTGAGAGTAAGATTCAAATGCTTCAGAATGTTGCGGAGCAACAGCAAAGCCCGAAGCGGTACTTATGTCGGAATAGGGAGAATGAATGTCTCCAGAGCATGAGAGGTGAACAAAAGAGGGCCCAAGGAGACTAGCTTCAGAGAAAGAGCAGGGGCCAGTTAAACCAGTCAAAAAAGGGTCAGACTGGCGTGGCGGCCATACATAAACTGAATCGATTGGACTGGCTTCCCATATAGGTGCACTATAAGAGGGGAGAATCGAAGAGTCAATGGTCTCTTTGGGTGGCGGCAGATAGACTGGGTAAACGGGATTATGAACTGAGCCAACAAGAGAAGTGTATAACATGGGCGATTCGTAAGATATCTGTGGAACGAAAGATGGTTCACACGACGGGATAGATGAGGAGAATGAATAGTGATTCATTGTAATAAGAAAAGTAGGCTAATAAAAATTTAAAATTAATACAGATGAAGGGCCATCAAGGAAACAAAGAAATAGATGCATGTGTTCGGGTGTTCAACAATGGAAGATGGAAACCAAAATATAAAGTAACGGCACAAATAAATATCGCAATGCCGAAAGTTGGTTGAGAGCTCGGGTTTAGAAAACGAGCATGAATGAGCCTGAGCTCAGGGCGGAGAATGACAGTGTAGAATGAATAGACAAGGGAAGGACGAAGGCAGTAGTCTGATGATAAGAGGATAGAATAAAAAGAATAAAGGGAAAACAGACTGTCTTAACCAGTTGTGTCCCCGCATCTCAGAGAAACTAGCCGGGCAGTCTGACAAGAGAGAAGAGAAGTGAGGGGTGTAGGAAGCAAGAGCATAAGAGGATGAAGTGGGACGATGCGAGCAGAGTTCATGAACGGAGAGAAGGGAGAAAAACAATTTCATCTGCCAATAAGAGAAGAGATCGTAAAAAAACAGCAGTCTCTAGACGGTCTGCGAACGGGCCACCTTGCTGTTCGTGCATTAACTCGACGGCCAGCCAGCTATCGCCGTAATCACCCATTTCTCAATAATTCCGTTCCTCAGGCCTAATATATTCGTAGACCCGATAGGATAGGGGATATGAAAAGAAGGCATAACTGGCGAGTAGGCACATAGAAACGACAGAGAGCATGTCACCAAGCAGGATAACTGATCAAACGCCCGTTTCCTCTATCTTCTGGAGAGAGAGAGCACTTCTCAGATCTAGTAGGTGTTGTAATAATCAAGAGACTTCATCCTCGTATGGAGGAATAAGGAGGAAGAGGCAGTCTCTACTGGCACAATTACTCAAGCGTAAATTCGCATTCATAAAAGTTAACAGATATATAAAAAGTATTTAAAATAAATAAGTCTATTTTGGTCTAAGCCAAAAAATTGCAGCAGCTAAGTAGAAGAGAACATTCACATAGAAGGGATAAAATGTGGAAATTGACTCACCAAAAAAGTAAAAAATGGCATTAAACTAACCTTAAGGAAAATAAAGATACATAAACATTTATTTCTAAACGATTATACTCTAATTTAATTTTTTCTATATAGGGACAGGCAGTGTGGAGTAGCCCGAAGATTAATACAGTGGCACATACTGAGGCTTGCCATGAATAAGCGGCATTTAACCAAATATAAGAAAGTTCTAAAGGACAACACTTGCGTCTAGACGAAAGATGGATAGACGCGAATAGAAAAATGAAAATAGATAAATTGACACCCGGACCGTTTAGCGGAGAAAGAGGAAAGACTGCAAGCAGGATATGTGCACCTGGTAAGTAGATGTATACGGGTTGAGTAATAGGATAAGGTAGGGAGACAGAAGATGGACTCAGGACGAAAATTATCAGTATCCGGAGCAGAGCGAGGCGCTAGATACAGAAACATCATGAATGGAAATAAGCCATGAAGGAAAGGTATGTATGGTGAGTAGAATTAACCAAACTGGTCATATCCTCTTGAACTATATAAGGTGTGCGCAGGCAAGAGCGATGGTCAGGCACACGTCATGAAAATATTTACTTACGGAGTATTGAAATAAAGTAAGCTGCGTAAATTAAGTTTACTACTAAACCAGACTATGGATATACTTAATATCCTAAACGAATAAGCACCAAAGTAAAATAGAATATGTGAACAAGCTATATTGCATCAAGAAGATTGTGATTCCATATGCTCCTGTATCATATAGCTATCAATATAATGCACTCAAGCAAAGTTTATATGAATAATACACTAAAGTTAAAAATAGTTAATACTCCTTAGTAAAACAATGTCCACTCCATGTTACTCGTTAGAGAAATGGTTCGAATCCGATAATCGAGCCATCCATGATGAAATAATGAATTCTTTAATCGAATATAAGACAGAGATGGTGTGGTCTTTTGTGTGGTCGCATTCTCCTTTCGTTGTATAGAAGTTGTTTTGACATCGTTTTCGCAACTTGGTCATATTGGTAGGAAGAATTAGACGAACGCACCTAGTCCGGAGTCCATGGTATGCATGATAATTTCCAGAGTCGGACTGTAGACATGGTACATTCCCAAACGTTTCGCCGGCATCATCAGTGAATCTTGACATTCTTAGCACCTTACTACAACTCGTCAAAGAGAAAAGTGAAGCCGATACTTTGACCAAATGTGTGTTAAACAGTTGTAGTATCTCTCATTCTGTCCTGGGCTATTAAAGTCCCCTATATCCTCGTACAACGCCTTCACTATCATAATTTTTCCTTGCTTATTTAGATGTAGTGTGGTGTGCCCTTTGAGCGGCATTATCACAGTCTCTTTCTTGCCCCGTAAGATCCGTCTGCGTTATTGGCCCTATTCTGCGTCCGGGTGACTAATTCGAGGCTCAAACCTCTAAGTGTCGTGGTCACGCCTTTGCCACATGGACCACGTCTCTTATGAAACCTAATATCAACCAACTAACT